GCGGTTGCGTCTGGAGAGAGATCCACAGAGCTGCTGAGAGAGCCCGAGAGCCATCTGCTGGCTGCGGGCGAGGAGGACTGGAGCTGCAAGGAGGCTGGTCCCCAAATCCCGGCTGGTCAAAGGACCCTGAGGCCCAGGAGCTGCGGAACCCAGCGAGTACTGCAGAGCCCCCTTGCGGAAGCTGCTGTTTTCTGGGATCCTTTCGTGCACTTCTGGATCTCAGGCCCCTCCGAGCTCCGTGCCCTAGTACCCGCGTTATTAATTTCACATCTATGGTTATTAAGAGCTACACGCAATCTATAGACAACCGTAGGATGAGAAGACAGGGGCCTCTTGGGAAAATGCCTTTGATGGCGACCCTGTCTCCTTAAGCCTCAGGGTATGTCGAAGGGCCAGATGCCGTTCACAAAAGCCGAATATTCCTATTCCGGTTGCTAAATCCCATTCTACCTGACCCAACCCATCCACGTTCCTTCAGATTCTGGAGTACTTGTGTGCACTTCCTTCACCTGCAGCTGGGAATATCCCTGACTGACCAATCAGGTCCCGACCTTAAAGCTTAATTTTTGTTTTTGTTGTGTTGTATTTGTTGATTGGTTAATTGGTTTTTGAGACAGAATCTCCTAGCTGGCCTGGAACTCGCTGTGTAGACCAAGCTGGCTGGCCTCCAACTAAAAGATCCCCTCTGGCTCCCAGAGTTCTGGGATCAAAGGAGTGCACCACCACATCTGTTTAGTTCTTTGTTTTTTAAAGTGTCTCTCTGGTGGCCTAGGCCTCAGATCTGCCTCAACCTCCCAGGTACTAAGACCCCTAGTATGAGCAATCAAGATGAGTTGGTAGTTTAGTTATAAAGACAGCTGTAGACCTTGACCCTAAAAACAATCTTAAGTTTCTACTCCGACAACGCTGCCCCGGGAGTGCTGTTGGTGGGACTCTTCTTGGGGAAGACTGAAAACACCCTCCTTGTAGTTCTCCAATTACAGAGTTCAATTGCACCAAAGTCCATCCTGGAGAACATGGGTGAGGCGTTATTTACAGGACTGTGGGTGACCCCAAAGCAGCCACAAACCCTTGCATGAATGCTGTACAAAGGAAGTCCCCCTTTCAGTTAGGAGTCCACCCTTTACATACCCTAGCACCTCCAAGATCATAAAGCCACAGGCAGTTAGAGTCAAATCACATACCACGGGCTCAGAGGTGTAGAAGAGTGGCTGGAATCTCATATAAGATCCCTCTGACTCAGCCGGGCGTTGGTGGCACACGCCTTTAATCCCACCACTCTGGAGGCAGAGGCAGGCGGATCTCTGTGAGTTTGAGGCCAGCCTGGTCTCCAGAGCCAGTGCCAGGATAGGCTCCAAAGCTACACAGAGAAACCCTGTCTTGAAAAACCAAAAAAAAAAAAAAAAAGATCCCACTGACTCTCCCAACCCCTCCTATGAAGGAGCATCAACAGTCAAAAGATTTCTTGCAAGTAATTAACCACTGTTCTGATGAAAACGGAGGCTATTCTGAGAGAGTACCTTCTACACCAGATACTCTTGTGGTGGTTGGGCCTTCTCTTCCCACCTAGTTCACCCTACCTGCAACCCCCATGCCTACTCAGCAAGGGTCCATTCTTTTGTAATTTACTGTTACTGTGGGTGCACAAAATGGGCCAGTTTTGGGGGGAGGGGGCTTCAGAGGACAACTTGTGGTAATCAGTTTGATCCCTCCACATTCGTGCCATGCTCAGAGAGATCAACTTGGATTTTTTCTAACAAAGGTTCATACTAGCTGAGCCATCTCCCAGTCCCCCAGACTCTACTCTTTCTAAGACCCTCTTAGGTTATCTGCCTCTTGCTGTTTGCAAACCCATCATTTGTGTACCTTCTTGATAAAATTTCTACAAGGATTTTCAGATCTCTGAGATTCCTAAGACTAAAACACACGTAAAAAACACAACCATACAAGGGACTTACTTCATTCTTGTGTCTTTGTCCAGTTTTCCTATTTAACCCTTGAATACTGGATTGGAGTGGGAGGAGGTGATAGTTCTTTGTTTCCTAACTAAACAGTAGGCAATTTGAAGGCAGGAAGTGTAGGAAGTATCCGGGTGTTATTGGGGATTGAACCCAGAGCCTCTTGAACACTGCCAGAGGAGCCTCTGCCACTCAGCCACACACCTCTGCCTCAAACACCTGGACAAGGCAGATGTCCAGTAAACACTTGTTGACTTGAGCTTACTACCTAAGGCCTTTCTTTTCCTCTTTGTTAATAAAATTGGCAATTTGTCTAAACTATATATTTTCTTTATATATTAACTATTTGTTCCCTGAAGTCAGTGGGAATTACTACACAAAACAGTCTTTCAAATGCTCATGGTTTAACGGGGTTTTTCTGGATAAACCAATGAAATTTCAAAAATAGCCCTGAAGACTCTACACAATAGGGAACTTGTGAAAATAAGAACAAAGAACTTTGTCCCCTTTGGCCTGGAGAGGTGCTGAGTGGCAATCCTATAATCCAGGACTCCTGCACTTCTTGATTTTCTTGATATTTTTGTGTTTTAATTTTTTTTTCTATTCCTTTTTTGGGATTTATTTTTATTTTATGTGTGCATGTTACCTGCAAGTGTATCAGTGTACCAGGTGTGTACAGTTCCTGAAGAGACTAAAAGGGGGTATAAGACCCCCTTGTAAGGGAGTTATGGAGGGTTGTAAGCCATCATATGAGTGCCTGTATATGAACTGCAGTTCTCCGTAAGAGCAACGAGTGCTCTCAACTGATAAATCACTCTGCAGCCCTTTGGGTGTTTTGACACAAGGGGTCACAAGTAGTCCAGTCTGGTCTCAAATTTACTATGTAGCTACTGGTGACTTTGAACCCTTGATCTTCCTGTCTTTACCTGATGAATGCTGAAAGTATAGCAAGCACCATCCTGCCTGACTATATATTGTTGGAGATAGAACTGAATGCTTCTACATTTTAGACAAGCACACTACGTCTAAGCCCCATCTGTAATCTCTACTTTATATTCTCGTTTTTTTTTTTTTTCATTTTCTAAGAGAGTCTTACTCTGCAGATTAACCTAGACCTCATTATGTAGCCAAGGCTTGGCCTCAAGCCTAATGCCTACCAAGGGCTAGTATTATAGATGTGGACCACCACACCCAGCATTTCCCCCCTTTTTCCTTACTGTGCTCTGCACTAAACCCAGAACTGTTCAAGTGTTCTTATACTGAGCATCGATCACTCCTCACTTTAAGATGTTAACACAGTGAAGTAATTTAACAAATTCTGGATGACAAAGTTAACTTGGGAAACAACGGGTTTTTGTTTTGTTTTTGTTTTTGGCTTTTTTTTTTTTTCAAGACAGGCTCTGGCTGTCCTGGACCTCACTTTGTAGACCAGGCTGCCCTTGAACTAACAGAGATCCCCCTGCCTCTGCCTCCCAAGTGCTGGGATTAAAAGCATGCACCACTACACCTGAATTGACATGTGCATTTTTATTTTTAATTCTACATGAGCATTTATGTCACTATATCATTTTTTGCATTTCATTATGATGACAAAATACAAGCTGAATAAAGCATTTGCCAAGATGCTTAATGCTTTTATGATAACTTAACATACTATTATTTACACCAATATTGTCTAGTGATTAAACCCACAGTGACAAAACAAACAGAAATGGAGTGATCAGCAACATAACAGAAAGTCCCCAACTTACTTCCAGTCTTGCCTACGAGAGTGAGAACAATGGTATTTTTTAAAAGTATATAGCATTTATTTATTTGTTTGTTTGTTCAGTGTATAAGTGTGCATGTGTTGAGTTCAGTCTCTCCTTCTACTATATGGGTCCCAGGGACTGAACTCAGGTCATAAAGATTGACAACCAGCATCTTGTCCCACTGAGTCATCTCACCAACACCAACTTAACAGGATTTACTCCCTATGTAATTTTGTACATTTGTTTGTTTTTCTTTGTTGGGATGCTAGGAAACAAAGCAGGAGTTTGCCAGTATCAGGTAAGTACCCTACCGTTGAACTGTATCTCTACTCTGTAGGGAGACACCAAGGCATGGTCAGGCAAACCTGTAGCTAGCCCTTAGAAGGCATGGTTACGGTGACTCCCTGCACTACTTCTTACCTTTTAATTATTTTAAGATAAATGTCACACCCCAGAAACTATCCTGTGTTAAGGGCTTTCATAAAGAAGTGTATAAAATGGTAACGAAAGCTCACACTTATAGTACTAATATTTGCAACCTGAGACAGGAATTCAAAGCCAGCTTGCACTACATAGTAAGTTCCAGACCAACCTTCGTTAGAATGAGACTGTTAAAAAATAAAATAAGATAAAAATGTCCTTCCCAATGAATTCGTGAAGACCTTTCAAATGCGTGTTATGCCAACCAATAATGTAGCTCAGTGGTCAGCACTTAGCTGTAGCATGTTTGAGGGCCTGATCCAATCCCAGAACCACAAAAAAGTCTGTGATTGGAGC